GGGCGGTTCACTTGCACCCGGGCTTGGCGCCCACTATCTTTGGTGCTGTCCATGGTGCTACCCCTTTCCAGCCTCATGCTTATCTACAAGCCGGGGTCTCTGCATGCTAGCTCAGAACTTAGGGAAACTGGGCTTTGCAGAAACGTGCTTCGCCTAGACACACTAGTCTACATGGTCTGGTCACCGGGGACCCATGACAGCCCCCTCATCTTGACCCCATGCCCCCACACAAGTAGCTGGGCACTGGAGAGAGAAGGGGTAAGATCTTCACGTTACAGGAGAGGAGTGTCAGGAGCCACAGGCCTTAGGGTGGAGAACACCCAGGTATACTCGCTGCACACAGCGTGGTTTGAGAGTCCTCTTTTGCTCAATGTAATACCCTCCTTTGATACTAAGTTTGGCAGGAAGGCTCTTCTGTCCCCCTGGTCCCGTCCCCCCAACACCCCCAGCACGGTCCTCAGAGAGGCAAGTCTGACACACTCGCTCACCTCTTCACTGAGGCACTAAATAAAGGGGGAGGGCTTTGTGACATTGGAAAAGATCGTGCCGCCATGTAAGCAATCTCAATGACATTAAGAAGCCCACGCGCTGTCACGTAATGTTTTTATAGTTTTACTTTATCAGTTTCACAAACTCTGTCTTAATTGAGATTCTTTCATGTGAGCAACAAAAGCAAACTCTATTTCCACCTAAAAAGGATGTTTTAAAGGGAATGGGTAGCTCATGGAGCCTGAGGAGCTGAGGCCCAAGACGGAGGCCTAAGTGCAGCACGGAGCTGGCAGGAAAGACCCCCCCCCCTGCCCCCAGGCTGCCCCGGCTCGGACTCGCCCTCCTTCCATGGAGCCCGGGGGCTGCCCTCTGGATGTTGCTACTAAGAACCGCTTCCCCTCTCGCCCTGGGAACTAGGTGGGGCCGATTTCGAGGGCCAGTCTCTGCTTCCTCGGTCACTAACTTCCAATTCAAGGTCTCGGCCAGCGTGCCAAGCGGCAGAGCCTGGGCTGTGTGCCTGGCCTGGCTACGGGGGCTGAGCGAGTATCTGCATTTTAAATCTGCACAGTGGGAGGCAGACTCTTGCTACACACAAATGCCGGGGCTCAGACGCCAAGTGGCTTAAAGGGATAATGAATAGCTCCTGAAACCACAGGGAGCGTGGAAGCGCGTGCACTCAGAGAAAGAGCTTTGGAGTGAAGCATGCTGAGCGCCCGAGATGCTGACCTCGGGAGTTTTATGGCCTGAATGGCCATGTCCTGTCTCCCACATCCCTGATCCCAACTGGAAACCTTACCCTGATCCCAACCCAGTAGACAAAGATCCTTATTTCCTCTTCGGATTCCTCCCCTGGAACAAGATTTTCTTCAAGAAACTTGCAGTCCCATGTTCGACCCCCCAGCAACCTGAGCGCTGTACAGGGTCAGGTTCTAAGGTCAACGTGTAAGGGGAAAATCAGAGGGAGCAGTCACCCCAGCCCTGCCTCTCAGGTTAGGACCGTTAGGCACAGGGAGGTCACTGGCTTCGATTCACGGCTCATGTCACACAGAACATGTGTAGCTGCCAACACCAGCATTGCATTCGGCACACCAAGATGCCACACCGTGACAGCCCCAGGGAAACTGAGGCTGCACAGGTCCGCATGGGCAGCGAGGGCAAGCATGGCGGAACGACCACACGACGTGCAGTCCACACTATTATCCCCTCTGTTCCAAGCACCAGCTGAAGCCACTCCTCTCTCACCCCCCCCACCCCCTGCCCCCTGGCATCAGGAGTAAAGGGAGGGTGGGGGCTCCATGTCGTCAGGACAAGATCGTCCCTCCCCGGCTAGACTTCATACCGCCACTTCCAGGAACCATAAGCCAGGACTCTGCAGGCTTCTGGCAAGGCCCCCGACTTCCGCCCTCCATGCCAGCAGCACCCACAGGCCACCACCCTATCTGCTTGAGACCACCAGGCCTGATCCCTTTACGCCTTTTAGTCCCAATCCTCCGGTTGCTTTAAGAGGTCTAGGACTCTGAGGTCCCTCTAACTCTTCAGACCCTCATCCCACGCCGTCTGCAGAATGGCGGGCACCACACCACCCAGCACACCGAGCCCTCTCCCTGCTCGCTCTTCCCCCACAGCACTCATCACTGCTCAGCGGCCTAGGCCTGGTTCCGTGTCTGTCTCCCACCACCAGAGTATCAGTTCCACAAAGGCGGGCAGTTAGGCCTGTTTTTTCACAGCTGTCTCCCAATCACAGTACACGGTGGGATTTTGATAAATGTTTGTCAAATGAATGAATGAAATGGACTTCAATAGACCCCACACGTGGCAAATGCCCTTTGGAAGCCCCTGTGCTGCCAGACCCTCTTGCGTAGCAGCAGCGCAGCCGGCCCTGTCTGTGTGGTGTGCGTCCATGTGGTTGTGAGAACTGCACACCCCGACTCACTGACAGACAGCAGCCCGGCTCAGCAGTCTGCCTTGCATGAAATAGGAGATGGTCTGACTCACGCAGCTGTGATCATACACTTGCTCCTCCAAACATGGGCAAATGCCAAGTCTCAAACTTAATCCTGTCTTTCAGGGCAAGCTACTCAGAAATCCATTTCTGAATTGTGATTACTTAGCAAAACAACACAACCCGTCTCATAATAATATGATCTATCATGTTCTGCTAAACAAGATGCTTTGCTTGCTCCCCAAATGTGCAAATGTGGGGTCTCCAGGCAAGAGGAAGAAGTGCTGGGCCCTCCTGCTGAGCCACCTCTTAGAACAGTGGTCGGCAAACCGCGGCTCTCGAGCCACATGCGGCTCTTCCGCCCCTTGAGTTTGGCTCTTCCATAAAATACCGCGTGTGGGCACGCACATACAGTGCGATTGAAACTTTGTGGCCCATGTGCAGAAGTCGGTATTTTGTGGAAGAGCCACACTCAAGGGGCCAAAGAGCCGCATGTGGCTCACGAGCAGCAGTTTGCCGAGCCGCAGTTTGCCAACCACTGTCTTAGAGCAAATGGCCTCGGGTTTGAGGCGCAAACCATCACTGGTGGCGGAGGGCAGGGAGGTATCGCCACACAGAGCTGCCGAGCTTTGCCAGGGCAGTGGGCGACACTGCCTCCGCCCGGTAGAGCACATGCCCGAGTCAGCCTGGGAGGACTCCTCCCATCACGGAATCTATTTTTTTTTTAAATATATTTTATTGACTTTTCACAGAGAGGAAGGGAGAGGGATAGAGAGCCAGAAACATCGATGAGAGAGAAACATCGATCAGCTGCCTCCTGCACGCCCCCCACTGGGGATGTGCCCGCAACCAAGGTACATGCCCTTGACCGGAATCGAACCCGGGACCCTTGAGTCCGCAGGCCAACGCTCTATCCACTGAGCCAAACCGGTTCTGGCACGGAATCTATTTTAAAATCGGTTAAAGAAAGAGGCAGGGAAGGGAGGAGCAAAGGCCATGTGGGGGAAAGCACGCAGCTCACGTACCGGTAAATGATGCCCTTGCTCTGTAAGAAGAAGAGGCCGATGGCGATTTCTGCAGCGTAAAATCTGAAATAAACAAAAGCCACGAGAAGTTCAAGGACACCATATGCTTGGCAACTCTCAGAATTCCGTACAACATTGAACTGGGTGTAGGACATCAATGCCTGTCATGGATGGCCAGCCACCCATCTCATAAAACAAAGTACGGAGTGTGGATGGGTGAGCAGGGTTTAGATAACTGCCCTAAGGATCCACTGGAGTGGGCAGAGGGTCAGCAGTTGCGTGGTGGGGAGGAGGCCATAGGATATGATGTACTAGCTGGAGAAGAGTCGGTTCAGAGTACACCAAGTTAAAATCCTATATAATAAAAGGGTAATATGCAAATTGACCCTAACAGCAGAATGACCAGAAAGACCGATGGACCAGTCACTATGAGGCTCATAGACCACCTCTTGGTCCCTTTCCCCGGCTGGCAGGTTCCGATCGCCTGATAGCCACTGCGGCGGGGGCGGGGCCGGCAAGCAGGTGTGAACAGCCGACCTCTCGGTCCCTTCCCCTGGCTGTCAGGCATCGATCACCCGATGGCGAACGGGGAACTGGGGGTGGGTGGCGGTGGGGGGCGGGGTCAGCTGTGGGCAGCTGGGGAAGATGGCCCTGATAGCAGGCCAGGCCTAAGGACCGTACCCGTGCACGAATTTTGTGCACCAGGCCTCTAGTAGCTTAATAATAGCAGCTGCCATCTGCTGAAGGCTGGCCCTTTCCCTAGCATCATTGTGGGTTATTATCTGTTTCAATCTTAACTGCAGTCTGGTGAGGTGGGTTCTACTATTACCTCCCTGCTCCTTAAATGAGGAAACCGAGGCTCAGTGACATGAAAAAACTTGGCCAAGTTATACAACTGATAAATGGTAGGCCAGGGTGGGAGAGCTCTTACTGAAGGCCGGTTATAGCACAGGGCTGGGCAGGGCTTCGGGGCGCGCGTGTGTGTGTGTGTGTGTGTGTGTGTGTGTGTATGAGAGAGAGAGAATAGGATTAAAGCTTATAGTCCACTATTAGAAGTTGAAGAGAGACAACTCTGAGCTCACATTGCCATTGCAATTGTGCCAAAATATGCAAGTGGCAGGATTTGGAAGCAGAAGAATGCAATTCTACCAGCATATAGTGGTCACAGCCTGGGCAGGTGGGAGGACAGGGCAGGGCTGAGCTGAACGGCAGCCTCTGGAATGATAGGGTGGGGCCCCGAGGGAACCCCAAGGGCTTGCTGAAGGGCCATGAGATCTTAGCAGACGCCCTAGGCAAGCTTGTCAACCCACCCGCATGTCCCCAGGGAAATGCACAGCAAGGTTCTCACTTACACAGCATGAGGCTCCTTAAACCGGCCAACCTGCTGGATGTGGTACATGAGGTCACCGCCGTTCACGTATTCCATCACGAAGTACAGGCGGTCCTAGAGGAAGACAGCAAATGGCCCATCAGCACCGGCATTTCTCGGGTTCCAAGCAGACAGCACGGAATAGCTGGGAGGCATGACCAAACACCAGAAAGCCACCAGCCTCCATCGGTCGGCTCTTTGTTTCCCGTGGGGGGTGGGGGGGGGGAGTTTGTGTCACTGTAAGCATGCAGGTGAGCACAGGTGGTGCAAGAGCGTTCTTTTTAACCAGTAACTCTAAGTTTATGTTCATTTGTATTGATAAAGATACTTAGCACATGAGTCTGGGGACTTAATAGGCATTATTTAGAATAAAGCTAATTTTAGTAAAAAGTAGGCAATATTAAGTAAATCCTATTACAGTTAATAGGTGGCCTATCAAAGCTCCATGATGCCCCCTCCCATGAGTTTCACCTCCTGGTCTTCACCTCCTATGTAGTCCCTCCCACAAGGACTAGGACTGACTTGGTAATCGATAGGATACAGTACCAATGACAGTGTGGGACTTCCCAGACTCGTCAGAAGACATGACAGTTTCCACTTTGCTCTCCCTTCAATCACTTGCCCTGGAGGAGGCCGCCATGCCCGGGGACCCTTGGCAGCACTGTGGAAAGGGGCCTTCAGCAGAGGATGGGCCTCCTGCCGACAGCCAGCACCCCTCCCGCCTCATGAGTGGGCCACCATAGAAGCAGCCCCTGCAGCCCCTCTCAGACCTTCAGGTGACGCAACCCCAGCTGGAAACTACAATTTTTTAAAATTAATTTTGTTGAGGTGACTTTGGTTAATAACATTATATAAGTTGCAGTGTCCAACTGTATAATATAGCATCTGTATATTGTATTGTGTGCTCACCACCCATAGTCCAGTCTCCTTCCATCACCATATATTAGACCCCCTCACAATTTTTTAAAATTAATTTTATTGAGGTGACATTGGTTAATAACATATAAGTTGCAGTGTCCAACTGTATAAAACTCATCTGTATATTGTATTGTGTGCTCACCACCCACAGTCCAGTCTCCTTCCATCACCATATATTAGACCCCCTTTTACCCTCTTCAGCCCTCCCCCCACGTCCTTCCCCTCTGGTAACTAACATACTGTTGTCAGTCAGTGTCTAAGAGTTTATTAATTTTGTTTTATTTGTTGCTTTCTTTTTTATTTCCCACGAATGAAATCATATGATTCTTGTCCTTTCCTGTCTGAATTATTTCTCTTAGCATGATAAAGACCTAAATACAAAACCTGAAACAACAAAATACATGGAAGAAAACATGAGTACTAAACTTATGGACCTTACTCTCAAAGAGGATTTTGTGAATTGACCTCAAAGGCAAGGAAAGTAAAAGCAAAAATAAATGAATGGGACTGCATCAAACTAAAAAGCTTCTGCACAGCAAAAGAAACCATCATCAAAAGAAAAAGACAGCCAACCGAATGGGAGAAGATATCTGCAAACGATATTTCCAATAAGGAGCTAACATCTAAAATACATAATGAACCCATACAACCCAACAACAAAAGCAAACAATCCAATTAAAAATGGGCAGAGGACCTAAACAGACACTTTTCCCAAGAAGATAGACAACTTTCGTCTGAGACCCCAGAGTCAGAATTGCCCAGGGAAGCCACCCGAGCTCCCAGCCCACATACATAAGTTGGGCCAAATCACTCCTTTATATCACACTAGTGGCCCAGTGCACAAATTTGTGCACATTGAAAGGAAATTAATTAGAAGAAATATTTTAATATCGCTATTCGACCTTTCTCTATAACAGAAGTGTCAACCAAATTCACGATCGACAATGACAGATCAAAACACATGCATGTGATTGGCACCAGCGAGAGCTTTACATATATAGATAAACTTGCTTAATTAGACCTGCTTTCTGAT